TTTCAACCACGTTGAGTCAACATGGTCGGCGCATTAAAGTTAGGGTCGAGCATAGCTCAGACTATGACATTAAGAGTTTTTAAGATACTATAGTACTTAACTAATTTAAAACTAAGTAGAAAAATATATAGATATATAATAAGCTTAATTTATAAGTAATTAATTCCTAAGTAATAGTATAATATATAGAGCTAACTAATTAAAAAAAATAAAATAAAATAAACTATAGTTATACTAGTATAAAGGCTAGCTAGCAAAAAAAAAATTATAATTAAAAAAAAAAAGAAAGAAAAGAGAGAGATAATATATCTATAGAGCTTAATATATACTTTTAACTTATACTTAACTTATACTTAATATAGTGCTTACTAAAATAAGCGCTCTAGCTTTTTAAGCAACTTTAAGTATAACTTATTACTAGTTAAATTAATAACTTAATTATTAAAAGAGAGAGAAGGCAGAAAGAAAATAGTATTCTAAATATTATTACCTTTATAACTACTTTTTTCTTTACTATAAAGATAAGTTAAAGTCTTAGAAGTATAAAAGTAAATATATTAGCTGCAGAGAGTTGCCTCTCTATAAAGCGTATTAACTAAAGTATAGGCTAGCTTCTACTAGTTAGTATATTTATAGTATAACTCTGCCTGCTCTACTTACTGCTTGTATAGCATTTGCTTAATATTTTAAGCTATAGTAGCTTAGCTCTAGAAAAAACTTACTAGTATCTACTAGTTTAAAGGCAGTATATACTTATAGTAAGTAGGCATTAACGCGCTAGTAAGCGCTAGCGCTTATAAATTAGCGCTAGCAGCTATACTACTAAAAGATAAATTAAGCAGTATATATAAAGAATAAATAGAACTAGAAGTAATATAAGCCTGCTCTAATAATATATTAAAATTTTTAGTAGTAAAATTAAACTATATAGAAAATTTAGTATATATACTAAAGCTCTTACTTAACTTTTTATATATAGTAGATATAATATACCTACTAGTATTTACAATCTACTATACTTTCTTTTATTAGCAGTATAGCTTAAAGTTTAAAGCATAAAGGTGCGCCTTCTAAATACACTTTTTATAAGTTTTATAGCACTACTTATAGGCTATAGTAGAGCTAGAAATACAACTAGTAGAGCTAGTATTAATAAGCTTATATTAATATAGTATATATATTTCTAGAACTTTCTCTCTATTAAAGAGGTTATTATTATTAGAGTTGCCTTCTATAGTATACTTACTTATATAGTAAGCATTATAGTATAGCAGTAAAGGCAGTAAAAGTAGAGAAGAGAGCGCGCTAGTAGCAGACTCTTTACAACTAAATTAAGTATATAGTATATACTATATTATACTTAGAATAGTAGAGGCAATATAAAAGTAATATAGAAAAAGAAAGTAGATATAGTAGTAGCAATCTTTAGAAATAAGAATTTTTAGTAGCATAAAAAAAGTATTAGTAATACTTATTAAAAGAAAAACAATAAAAATAAGTAATATAAAGTTGCTAAACTATTTATAAAGCAGAGGTATATTAAGTATATACTATATATAAAAAATATAAAGTAAAGATATATAGTTGCTAGAGAGATTTATACTATACGTCTGTCTTTACTATATAGCAGCAATATAAATAAACTTACTAGAAGAAGAGTATATAATAAACTTAAGCTGTAAGCTTAAGTAGATATAAAGCACTATATTAGTGCCTTATTAAGTATGCTTTAAATATACATTAAACTTATATATATATAATAGAAGGAAAAGAGAGAATAGAGAGCTTCTTCTTTCTCTCTTTTCTCTCCTTAAGTTTATAGTTAATACTAGTAACACTTATATATAGTAGCTTGTAAGGCTAGTCCTTAATAAGTATTATAGTTTTATAATTACTAGTTAATATATAATATAAAAAATATTTTAGCTAAGAATTACTTTATATATTTTTTTACTTAAAACTTAATAAAGCTTTACTAACTTAACTATATTAATTTAATTTATACTTTTTACTAGTATTATTTTATTTTTAAACTAAATAAAGAAGTCTATAAATATTTTATTTAAGTATTACTATATTTAGTTTAATTTAATAAAAGCTATTTTT